TTCCTGAACCACCTGCCAGTCACACTATGTGGGGAGAGGCGGGATTGGGCATGGTTCAGCCACCATGGAATTTCTGGAACCAGTGAAAAACAATACATTATAAAAACAAGGGGGGGACCTGAGCTGAGGAAGGAGGGATCAAGAGCAGAGGGAATTTGTGTGTGAGTTTTTAAAAAGAAGCCAATGTGGGTATTTCAGGCAACTGCTTGGAACATTTCAAAAGAAACGGTAAATGCTTAAAGAGGCAGAGAGAGATGTGCCCCAGGCAGCTGTCAACCTGGCCAGATGAATGGATGGAACAGTGAGATGGGCAGGTTGAATGTGTGCAAGGAGGGAGGGAGGCAGCAATCCCACACCTGCCGCAGCTGGTGGCTCACCTCCCTGACCCCTGTTGAGTTCTGTCTGCACTTCTCTCTCTGTGCCTTATGGACACTGAGGATCAAAATCGTGCAGTGTTTCTGGTGGTACAAGCAGTTCTCTGATGGGCTGGGTGGCCCTGACTTGGGTTTTGGGGGGGATACTAGTTATTTTGAGCAGTACAGTGAACATCTTCCCATCTTTGTGTCCTTACAGGGCTCTGGGGGATGATAGAGCATGCGGGAGCCAGGGTCTTCTAATCAGAGAACCAGGTCGTGGCTTAGGCAGAATATCTACCACATCTTCATTCCTTGAATGCTCCCAGTGACGGGGAGCTTATGACCTGATTCCTTTGCTAGGCCTGAGTTTCTCTTTCCTTCTGTAGTTGGCCCTGCTCTGGTTTTCTTTTACCCTCCAGGAGTGGCTCGGGGACAGACCAGCCCTGGAACAGAAAGGAAGCAGAAAAGCTTGTGGCTTTAGCGTCTTAAGTGGACAAGCCACTTCCCCTGACTGAGAAGTCACGTCTCACCCCAGAGGCGGATGAAATGCAGGGGCAGATCGTGGCATCCAAAAACCAGTTGCCATTGAGCCAATTCGAACTCATGACTACTCGTGTCTGTAGGGTAGAACTGAGCTCCACAGGGGTTTTCAAGGTTGTGACCTTTTGGAAGCAGGTTGCCAGGCGTTTCTTCCAAGGTGCCTCTCAGTGGATTTTTGAGCTCTCCTAGAGTGTGGAGCCCATGCCTATGTTAAACCTGTGCATACCTGAGCACTTGGTCCACACACTGTGCACCCTCAGAGGACCCCCAAGCTCCTGGGAGCTGGGCAGGGGCAGACCTGGGGCCAGGCCCCGGAAAATCCCTGTTTTGTGCATGGCCGCTCAGGGCAGGTTCACAAAATTTGAAAAATCCCCCTTTCCCTTCACCTCCAAGTAGTTTAATCTCTCCTAATCAATTTAGCCGACTCGCTTGGTTGTAAACGGTAATGATTTGCATTTTTGAGCCTTTTTATCCCTTTTTAAGGAATAAAAACGGCCTCCTCTTTTCGCTCTGGAAGGTCTGTGCCCAGTGGCAGGGTTGTGAATTGCTTGTTAGCGCCCACCCTGGCGCAGGGCCAGGGTAGGTGTCAGTGCCCAGCATTTCCTGCTCCAACTTGCACGTGGCGAGGGGATGGGGGACGGGGGCCACAAGGGATGCTCACAGCTGCCCTTGTGACTGTGTTCTGGCCCAGAGAGTGGTCTGGCCTGAGGCCATGGGCTCCTCCTTCCAGCAAGGCCCCCAGTTCCCTCCCAGCGTTTCCATCCCCAGTTCTGCCGCATCTAATCTTCCTTGTTGTATTTTTGATAAGCGTGGGGCTGAGAAGCTCCATCCTCCTCCCTGGCGCGTTCAGCGTGAAGCTGATTTCTGGAGTGGGCTGGCTTTGGGACTTTAGCTGCCATTTGTCCTGAGTGATCTCAGACTTTTCACTCTTTCCCTACCCATCCTCAGCTCTACACCACAGCCCGGGAAGGACAATGGCTGTCGGGGCCATTCCTGAGCCTTCAGGGATACCTCCCTGGCTTGGAACTACCACCCCTCAGCCAACTAAACCTTTCCAGAATCTGTGGAGGGGCCTAACTTAGCCTCTGGAGTACCCGTTGTCCTGGGTCAAGCTAGATACACAAGGGGAAACAGAGCCCGTGGATTCACAGAATACACCTCCCTGTCCCTCTCCAGAATCACCCTCCTTGGCCAGCTCTTGCCCTGCCTTGGTTTCCCCTTGCTAGGGCTACCAGGACCTTCCTGAATCCCGGGACAGGTGTCTCTGGAGGGAGAAGAGGGACAGGGTGAGGGTGGGCTTTAGGAGGGCCAGGCCGGCCCCTCCCAGCCTCCAGCCATTGTCTCCCCCAGCTCCTGCGCCCTGGGTGGGGGAGGGCCCAGCCGCCATGTTGACATGAAGCCAACTGAAAGAAGATGGAGGCTTCTGCAGGAGGCAGAGGAAGGGGGAAGGAAAAGAGGGAAGAAAAGAGGTTTTTGATGCACATCATGTCTGCGGAATTGAGTATGACTAATTAATAGATTTTATTCTTAGTAATCTCTTAAGCATTCCATACGTTGGGCCCCACGCCTGAGCTGAGTTTACAAGAGGCCTCATTCGCAAAATGCAAATGACATGCTGGGCCCTGCTGCCTCCTCTCCAGCCTGTTTTTTTTTTTTTTTAGGGGGAATTTAAAGGAAAATTGCCATGTAATAGGAAAGAGATTCCAATCACTACATCTAATTACCACAAAGGGTAAACCACTTAACCAAAGAAGTGTCCTGGGTCTTTTCCCTCCTTCACTTAAAACCTGCCTTAAATGCCACAAAATAGACTCATCAACCCTGAGGCCAATGAGGTGGTTGTGTCTGGGTGGAGGCTGTGCGGCCAGGTCCGGAGGAGGCTGTCTCTAGGAAGTGTCACTGTGCAGAGGGGCTCTGGGGGTGGTCTTTAGCTGCCCTGCATCCGAATGTGTTTCTTTGGGGTGGGGGTGGGGGCTGGCTACCAGGAAACATCCTTCTATCAGTTCCGTATGATGGCCATCTCAGAGCAGTTGGACTAGGAGCTGATGGGTCTCAGAGTGGACCTGGCTTTGGGCCCCCTCCCAGGTTGGAGGAGGGGGGTCTGTGACTCAGCGACAGTTGGGGTTTGCTCTTAGAAGCCGTCGTGCTGGGAAGGAGCAGAAAAAATGAGAAAGTCACCTAGGCCTTGGATGGGATCACCGGAAGGGACGGGGTCCTTGCTGCGCAGACTGCTGTGTGTGAGAATCAGGCAGGATTTGGGGCCAAAGCTGCTGGAAAATGGGGTGAGCCCTGCCCCTGCCCTCAGTGGAAAGCCAGCTGGAGGGGGCTGTAGGTAGGTGGCAGGGCTCCTGCAGGCCTGATGTGCTCTTTGTCATGGGGGAGGAAGTTCACCAACCTGCCTGCTCTCCTCCCAGGCCAAGCAGGACCTTCCCTGTAGCCCACATAGTTGTCCCATAAATGCCATCCAGGCTTCCCCAAGGGGTGATCTGACCTCCCTGGGGTGGGGAATTGGAGGACTTCATGTTGCAAATGCTCAGGACTTGGGGGACAACCTTCCCAGAACCCTGGCAGAAGATGGGAGGGGGTTCCTGAGGAAGGGACCTTGGGCATCTGGGGCACTCCAGTGTCAACTGAGCTGGCTCTTCACAACGTGTGAAATGAAGGCTTGGCGACATTTTCCTCCAGACCCCATTGTTTGACGAAGGAGTCAGGTGGGAAAAGGAAAGGTTGGTCTCATTTGGAATGAAAGGCTGGGATTTCTGTTTGGTGAGCTGATGCAGCCACGGAGAACCTCCACCTCTACTCCAGCTCCTCGCCCACAGCTGGTGTGTCTGTTTCTGTCAACCCTCGCCTCTTCACCAAAGAGCCCTGTGGGAGCTTTTCATGTCCGGGAAGCGGCCGGCCCTTGGGTACCTCCTGGCAGCCTTGGAACCATTGGACAGCCTCTTCTTCTGCCTTTGCAGCAAGGCCTTTTGAAAATGCCACCGCCAGAAGCCAGACCCTTGTCACCCTTCTGCCTCAGCAGTGTCCCTTGCTCTCCTTTGACATGTGTCCCCAGTGAGGGACAAGCAGCATGTTGACAGATGGTGACCTGTGTTCCCCGAGTGCCGGGATGTAGGCACTACCAGACCCCGGGCACTGCGCCTCTCTTCTTTCCAGATCTGCTGTCATTATTTCATCATCGTTTTAATCTCATGGCTCGCCAAACTGCAATGTCAGTTGATAAATGGTGGCATCGTGTATTCCAGAGGGAGGAAATAAAAGCTTAACTCTTCTGAAGGCCCCGGTCACTCTTGTTTTGGAGGCTGGCATATTTTGAGAGACCGCAGTTCACATTCTTCCTCTCTCTCTCAGAGAGATCAGAATCCCAGGCGTGAGCACGGCTGAGTTTTCTACACTCTGGGAGTGCTGATGTCTGCCGGGGCTTGCTGCGAATCTTCTTGTCTTTCTCTAGGCTTTGTTTGAGCAGCCATGGAAACCGTTAGGTCTAATCAGCTGATATAAAAAAAACCCGTCCCTGTACCAATTACCCGTCCCGGGAGGAAGCACATAGTAAATGCTTAGAAAATAGCTTCTGAGGTGGTTACATCTGTGGAAGGGAGAAAGAGAGGGGCATGGGTAATCAAAGGAAGCTGCTCTCTATACCAGAAAGGAGAGCAGCCCAGCTCTGGCCAACCTGAGATAGGATCGAACTGAAAGTGCACCTTGCTCGGCTCCTCCATAAGCCACTCTCCCAGGTAGACACGTCTCAGCCTCTAAGAGCAGCGATATCCTCAGGAGACTGAGTCCCCTCCCTCCACCTCACTCCCATCCCGACACTCTTTGTCTACTTACTCAATTATTTCTAAGAGAAAGCAACGTCTCACGATTCTGTTGTCCCAGGAAATTGTTACGAACCGACCCATGAAGTATTGTAAGGACCATACATGGGGCTCGACCTACCAGCGCTGGATTGAGATACACAACACAGAGATAAACCGGGTAAAGAGCCAACCCTCCGAGCCGTAGAGAAAGCGGCAGCTTCTGTTGGGGCTTCTGCCGAGAGTGGTATAGGAAGAAAAAAAGAACCCCAAAAAGCAACAAAAAACTTGTTGGTTTTTAACAGACTACAGAGTTGTTCAGAGAATGCAGTGAAAGATACGCAATTTCTGCAGATCTGTAAGGGAAATGGTAATGGAAGGATCCGGAAAAGCGGTTTCAGGACAATATCTCCATAGCAAAAGATGTTTTCTTCCCCCTCTCCTTTTGTGAGGAAGCTGAAAATCTTCCATCAGGAGCAGACGCCAGCACAGGAGAGTTGTGTGGGGGCCTCGTGTGTCGGCTGCCTTTCTCTGACGGGTCTTTTGTGACGGCTCCGAACACAGACGTTGTTACAGGTAGTAGCTTCCAGTCCAGAAAAAAAACAAAAACCACCCAGCCCAACCCTTCCTGCCATTGTATTTTTAGTCCTTCCCTCCCCAACTGGCATCATTCTGTATAAATTATGTCTTCAACAATGTCGAATTCCCCTCCAGTCTTCTATCTTTTTTTTTTTTTTAATGTTCCCCAGTTGTTGTTTTCTACAAAATCGTCAACCCTCCTTAAACTTGACTTTCTGCTGGAAAGTCTCCAGGGGAATTTCTTTGCCTTGTTCTCTGGGATTGCAGCAGGCTGAGCAAAGCCACGCTGCCAAGCCGGGGGAGGCACCAGGAGCCGGGGCCGGGGTAGACTGGGCCTACGGGCATCAAGTGTAGGAATAGTCTATGTCAGGGATGCCTCCGTCCCGGTAGCCCCGCGTGGTGCCGTAGCCAATGGTGTGTGTACCCGTGCAAAGGCTGCTGCCATTGGAGGGGAAGATGGTGTGGACCACATATTCTTCTTTGGCATGGTATGGGTTGATGGGCAGCATCTGGAGCCCGGGGCCTCGGATCTCTAGGATGGAGTTATCCTTCTTGGTCCCTGATTCCATATAGTCGTCCTTTTTCCGGCTGCCCCGGTTGTAGGCCCTCTCCTGACTCAGCAGCTCACCAGTCCGATGCACATACCAGCAGATGGCCCCCAGGACGAGGAATAGGAAGACAAGAGCCACAGCGCCACCGATGATGCCCGCCAGGGGCAGGCCCGCCATAGGGTCGGCGTTCTGCTCCTGGTTGAGCGTGGTGGTGGGACCGTAGCTGTCAGCCGTCTCTGCCTTGGCACACACGGGCGTCTCGTCGGCCATGTAGGTGTTGCCGGTCTCCATGGTGACCATGCAGATGATGTAGGTGGACTTGGGCTCCAGGGCCGTCAGCAGGTACTCCGTTTTGTCGCCCTGCACCAGGGTCTCTGTGATGGAGCCCACGGCCGGGCTATGGCCCAGGCGCAGCCAGCTGAGCCGGAAGGAGGAGGCAGGGAGCATGGCCTTCCACGTGATTCGGATGGAGTCCGCAGTCAGGGGCTTCACTTGGATGACCAGGGCCTTAGCTCCGTCACCGGTGGCCATGGGGTAGTCAATGTTGGAGTCGGGGAGGCGCAGGCCCGGCCTCTTGGCCTTGAGGGTGAACAGCGAGCCCTGGGGCGTGGTGGCTGAGGCATGGTTGCTGGCAGTGGTTTTGGGGGCAGCGTTGGCTGCGCCACCCTGCACCCCAGTCTCGAAGCACTCATCCATCTCGCTGCTGATGTCCTTGATAGCCATGCCTCGGACCTTCTCGGGACCCTGGCACATGAGGCCCCGCACGTTGACCACGGCCGCCCGCGCCTTCACCCAGTCCCGCAGCCACATGAGGTTACAGCCGCAGAACCACGGGTTGTTACGTAGCAGCAGCTGAGCCAAGTTCTCCAGGTCATCGAACAGGCCGCGGGGCAGCGAGGTGAGGTTGTTGTTGGACAGGTCCAGCCGCTCCAGCTCCCGCATCCTGGCCAGCGTGTTGTAGGGGATGTGGCTGATGGCGTTGTCCTGCAGGTACAGCTTTTGCAGGTGGGCGCTGGGCAGGTTGAGCGGTGGCGCTGCCAGCGAGTTGCGTACCAGCGAGAGCTCAGTGAGGTTTTGCAGGCGGCTGAAGGTGTCGTCGGCGATGCGCTGGTTGGCCAGCAGATTGCCGTCCAGCACAAGACGCCGCAGGCTGTGGAGGCCCTTGAAGGCATGCAGCGGGATGGTGGAGATGCGGTTGTCATCGAGTCGTAGCTCCTCCAGCGTGTGTGGCAGCCCCGAGGGGATGCTGCTCAGGTGGTTCCGACTCAGGAAGAGCAGCTTGAGCTGCTTGCTGTCGGCGAAGGCGTCCTCCTCGATGCTGACCGTGGACACCGAGTTGTCATCCAGGTGCAGTTTCTCCAGCAGCGGGATGCGGGCCAGTGAGTCCCTGGCGATGACGCGCACATTGTTGTCTTGTAGGTGAAGCTCCCTCAGGGAGCGCGGCAGGTTGACGGGGAACTCATCTAGGTCATTCTCATATAGGTAGATGACCTGCACGTGGACCTTGGTCTTGAGGTCCTGGGGGATGCCGGCATTGTTGATCTGGTTGTTCTGCAGGTAGAGAGTGGTGGCGTCGTCCGGTATATCCGCGGGGATGGAGGTGAGCCCCCGGTCGTTGCAGTAGATGAAGCCGTTGTCACAGCGGCACACAGAGGGACAGGTGGTACTGTCGATGACCTCGGTCAGGAAGGCGATGAGTCCATACCACAGGAACAACCAGTCCCGGAGGTCCATGGTGGCCGTGGTCATCACAACAGTAGCCGTGACGGTGGCAGCGGGCGTGGTGGTGGCGGTGGTGGCAGAGTGTACCACCACCATGGTGGACGGCTGGGGGAGCCCGGCCCCACCTGACCGGGGTCCTCCACACCTGCAAGGAGCACAAGACACGTGAGAGGGAGACAGCGACAGCGGCCCCCTGCCTGCCGCCAGGAGGGCACCTGCTGGGCAGAGGTCAAGGCACCAACCACCCATGTTGTGCTTCGTCCCTTGTCCTGTCAACTTCACCTCAGAGGCAACTTCCCTGGCTAACGCCAAATGAAGACGTCCTTCACTGCTTAGCTGTCCCTGGTTTCTTCTTTCCCACTTTCCCTCTAAGCCAATCTCTCTAGCTAATGCTGGAGGCAGTGTGGTTCAGCGTTCGACTCCTCCCTTCCATGCTGGAGACTCAGGTTCGATTCCTGGCTAGAGCACCTCAAGTGCAGCCCACCACCCGTCTGTCTGTCTGTCAGTGGAGGCTGGCATGTGGCTATGAATCTGGACGGGTTTCAGCAGAGCTCCCAGAAAATAAGATGCACTCTGAAGAAAGGCCTGGTAACTCACTTCCAAAAACCAGCCCGTGAAAACCCTCGGGACCACAGCTGGTTGTGGAGACGGTGCAGGGCAACACAGCGTTTCATTTCACCATGCACGGCGCTGGCATGGCTCACCCTGACTGCTGATCAGTGTGGGTGGAGTGGATTTGGGACACAGTTGATGGATTCGAGACACAGTGTTGTGCGGAACAAGGAGCACAGTACCAGCTGGCTCCAGTGGAGGGTTTGGGGCAAAAAAAGCTTGTTTCTGTGAAGTCGGTGAGCTCAAAGCAGGGAAGTCACTATAACCTGCAAAAAAAAAAAAACACCTGCCAACGTCGTCACTGGTGAGCAGTGGAGAGTGTGGGCTTCATTGTTTGGTGTTAAAACATGTCCTGTTTGTCACTTGTACATTGCAGAGACAAAAGAATCAGATGTCAACAGCATCGTTTTCTTGTGTATTAACAGAAACCTCCCTTTATCCTTTTATGCCTAACTAGCTCTGTGTCTCGAGTTTGGTGTAGAACGATTCCACACCTTGCCCCCTTCCAGATCATGAAACTCTCAGCTATGTCGGAAAAAAAACAAAACAAAACCAAAACCTTCTAATATACCTGTTTCCTTAGACTTACAGAAATGAGATGAATAAGAGGGAGGGTGGGGCCCACACTCGAAAGGAATTATCTGCAAGGGGTCATTCCAGTTTTCACAAATGGAAAAATTGCAAAGTAGATTTTTCTCTTATTATTTTACTGTTCATAGTGGTTAAAAAAAATCAATTAAAAATAAATTATCTTTCACCCTCAGTGGACAAAAGGTCTTCTGTGTAACTCTAGCTTCATGAAGGCTTTTGATGGCAGGGCCCAATGGCTTCTCAGAGCCCTAGCTGAGTCCCCAGTACTGGGAACAGCCCTGGGGAGTAGAGCAGAATGAGCCAGTAGGGACCCCACTCCTATGCTCCTGCCTCAGGGACAGCCGCTGTATTCCTCAGCCATGACAAACCCTCCTCCCTTCTCTGTGCCTCTATTCCTGTATGTTTCTATCTTACACACTGATCTTCATCCCTTAGGACCAGCTCAAATGTTTATTCCTAAACTAGGCAGAGGTAGATGGTGCCGCTAGAGTTCCATACAGCCAGCCAGCCATCCATCCATCCATCCATCCATCCATCCATCCATCCATCCATCCATCCCACTCATCATTCATCCCTTCATCCATCCATCCATCCACCTACTCATCATTCATCCCTTCATCCATCCATCTAGCCACCTACTCATCATTCATTCCTTCATCCATCCATTCATCCAT